GAGATGGTGCGCCAGACCCTCAACCTGGCGCTGCCCCAGCGCGCGCCAGTGCTGCCGGCGCTGCCGCCCCGCGCGCCAGGCGCGCGCGGCGGGCCCCTGGACGGCCTGTGGACGTGCAGAGAGCCCGCCGAGGGGCAGCCGCCCGAGGAGCTCATCCGCGTCGCGGGCAGCACCGTGGAGTGGCAGCGGGAGCACCCTCCTCCTCCCTCCCTCCTCACACACATCCTCCTCCTCCTCCCCCCCTCCCCCCTCCTCCTACCTCCTCCTCCTCTCTACTCCTCCTCCTCCTCCCCTCCTCCTCCTCGCCCTCCTCCTCCTCATCCCTCCTCCTCCTCCTCCTCCTGCTCCTCCTCCTCCTCGTCCCCCCTCCCTCCCCCTCCTCCTCCCCTCCCCCTCCCCTCCCCCCCCCCCGCCCCCTGCGTTTCTGCGTTTCTCGCTATGCAGCGTCTTGTCGCGCGCCCCGCGGGCGCGGAGCGCTCTGCAGCGGCCCACCAGGGCCGTGCGGGCGCTCAGACTGCGGCCCCGGGAACCCGGCCCCGAGGGAAAGGGGAGCCTGGGACCAGTAAATCATAGAGAAGGGAGAGGGGGGCCGGGTTTCAGTAAAACAAAAAGATGAGGGCCCATCTGGGCCCTCGGCAGGCGCCGCGCGCGCCCGTGCCAGCTCAGCCAGCTCGGCCCGCAGCCAGGCCTCGGCCTCTTTGTGGGCGGTCGGCCTGTTGTGTGGCGGCTGGGCTCCCTTCGGCGCCTCGCGCTGAGCCCAGCCGCCAGGTCATCAGGTGGCTGTCCGCCTTCTCTGCGGCGGCCTCCACCCTTCGGCGCTCAGCGCTGTGGAAGCCCGCCGAGCCTCTGACTTCAGCGGCCCCCCGCCCCCTCCTCATCCTCCTCCTCCGCCTCCTCCTCCTCCGCGTCCTCCTCCTCCTCCTCCTCCTCTTCCTCCTCCTCCTCCTCCTCCTCGCCCTCCTCATCCTCTTCCTCTGGGGCATTCGAGCAGGGGATTGGCGACAGAGTCGATGTATCCCAAAAGTGATGTTCCGCCGAGAATACGAGAAATGTGTAGAATGTGTGCAGCAGATTTGTGGAGCATTCTGCGTCTTGTTCGCAGGTTCGACAGCAGAATCAATGCTGTGGCAAATCAATTATGTAGGCGATCCCCTACTCGAGGCATGAGCTTAAACTTTCGCTGATGCGTGGGGTGCAGCGGCAAGCGTGCCAGGCAAACGGCTCACACAAAGCAGATGCTTGCGCGGACCTCGCGTCAGCTGGGGACCCTGGCGGAGAGAAGGGGGAGGAGGGATTCCCAGACGCTCGAGGCGCGGCTCGACAGGTGCCTGGGGAACGATTACGCCGTCGCTTCGGCACACTCACGCCAGCCACTGTGCGAAAGACTTCGCAGGATCCGGCCGCACATCGCGGTACGCGGCCGCCTCTGTCTGGCTGCGATGCCCCCTCCGCTGCGCAAAGCCTGAATTTCTGGAGCCCCGCTACGAGGTTCGAGCTTTTCGCGTATTTTCGTCGGTTTTCGCTGGCTTTCCAGCCTCGGGATGCTTCCCAGCGGCTGCGCCTTGCCGAAAGCGGTGACTCGAGAACACAAGGGCAACGAAGAGGAAAAGGCACCGATACCGCTTCCCACCTTTCCTTCGTCTTGGCCGTCTGGGCCTCCTGGGAGGCCCTCGTCGCCACGGCTGGACTCGCCTCGACATCCTGGTCAGGACGCACCATAGGAGAGGTCCGGGGAGCAACGGCATCGGTTTTTCATGGATTCCCCGGAAGGGGCACGTCACGGTCGACTGGGAGGAGGTCACGCTCCAGATAGAGGGGGAGGACACCGTCTGCAGAGGCGTGCTGCAGGGCGGCAGCGAGCTCCGCTGGGAGGACGGCGACGTCTGGGAGCGCGCCGCGCCGGGCGCGGCGGGCCTCTGCTCCGAGCGGCAGCTCGAGGCGCTGCGCGGCCGCGTGGCGGCCGAGCGCGGCGCGGGCGCGGGGTACTTCGGGCACTTCGCCGCGCTGCTGCACCTGGAGGCGCTGGAGGAGCTGAGGGAGCTGTGCGGGCGGCTGCGGAGACCCGCCTGGCAGCTGGCCCAGCAGGGCTGGGCGCTGCAGGCGCTCGAGGTCGCGGACGTCTCCCTCCAGGCGCGCAGGAAGTCCAGGGGCGGGAAGAGGTGCCAGGTGAGCGGCGGAAGAACGCGAGGTCGAGTTCACCAACACTGGTGGGCAAGCTGCCCGCGCAAGGTCGCGCGTGAGCGCCCTCGTCTCCAGTGTGGCGGGCCGCGCTGGCGGCCCGCGTAAGCTGCGGCGTAAGGTCATGATTACATCTCACGTAAGATCCGCTTCTTTTCGTCGCTCAGGTGGTGTTCACTCACAAGGCCGCCCGCGCGGCGGACGTGTCCCGGCTGCGCTTTTCCCCGGGCGACAGCGTGCTGTTGTCGGTCGACGGGCCGCTGCAGGACTGCAGGGGCGAGGGCATCGTGGCGGAGATGGGCTGGCAGGATTGCGCACAAAGACACCATCACCAACAACAACAATCATTTTACCCTCATGCGCGATGTTTCCACACGAAGCATGCGACCATCATGATAACCATCCCCATCATGGGGGACTCTTGTTCTTTAGCGGGGTCCGTTATTCCCCTTCCCAGATCTCCCGCCCAATGAAGTCTTGCAAACACCTCCTCCAGAGAATTTCAACATATCCCGCCTCGAAAACACATGCCCGCGCCTTGCTGCGCCGATGCGAGACCGCCAGAGGAGCACCAGTCAAGGGTAAAGCACAAGGAAGTATCGAGCGACAGGATCGCCTTGGTGGGGATGTGGGCTGTCGGCGGCGAGGCGAAGACCTGGCCCTGAATAGAAAGGAAGGAAGTCTCGAGCAGGGCCGCTGTTGTTGCTGGGACGCCAATGCTGAAGAGAGTAGGGCGCTAGTCCAGCGTAAAACGGGAGGACGTCTCGGGCGGGAGCGTTAGTTTTGTCGGGACGGTGGTTTTCGGCGGCGAGGAGGAGCACCGCCTTGAGTCAAAAATGAAGGGACCCTCGAGCGGGAACCGTGGTTTTGTCGGGACGGGGGCTGCCGGCGGCGAGGAACAGCACCGTCCTGAGGAAAAAAGTAGGAAACCTCGAGCGGGAGCGTTGTTCTTGCTGGGAGCGGCGCCAATTCAAGATAGAGTAGGGCGCCAGTCCAAGGTTTAACACGAGGAAGTCTTGGGCGGGAGCATTGGTTCTGTCGGGACGGCGGTTTTCGGCGGCGACGAGGAGCACCACCTTGAGTAAGAAACGGAGGAGTCTCGAGCGGGAGCGTTGTTGTTGCTGGGGGCGGCGCCGATGAGAGAAAGAGTAGCGCGCCAGTCCAAGGTAAAACGGGAGGAAGCCTCGAGCGGGAGCCGTGGTTTTGCCGTGAAGGGGGCTGTCGGCGGCGAGGCACAGCACCGTCCTGAGGAAACCTCGAGCGGGAGCGTTGTAGTTGCTGTTGAATTCTCACTTCTGAAGAATAATTATTGTTGATCCCCCCCCACCGGTGCATACTGTTTTTTCTCCATCAAAGTGTGCCCCTCGACGCTCGCACCCTGTTTTTTGACAAGGAAAGTCTTCCTGCTCAAACTGGGCCCCTGGCCCCCGGGTTATAACAACAATGGCTCCCGCGTGAGACTTCCTTACAATTTAGCCAGGACCCCCGCTCCCGCCCGAGACTTCCTCGCATTTTATTCCGGAATCGCGCTCTCGCTGGGGACTTCCTCACAATTTATTCAGGAATCGCTCTCCCGGCGCTCTGGAGTCGCGCGCTGGAGACTTGCTTGCAATTTATTGAAGAATAGCCTTGCGTTGGAATTTCTTGCAATTTGCCCAAGCGCCGCGCTCCCGACACCCAGGCACCCAGGAGTTGCGCCCGTTGTGGCCCCATGTGCATGCCTTCGTGGCCCCGCTGTCGCCATTTGTGTCCCCCATCACTGTCCTACGTGGCCCAGTTGCTACCCTCAGTGGCCCCATAGTTGCTTTCTGTGAGCCCCGCATTGTCTGCACTTCGTGGCCCCCGCTCGTTCGCGCTCTTCGTGGCCCCATACGCAGTCCCTTCGTGTCCCCGCTGTCGCCCTTCGTGGCCTACTTCGTGCCATTCGTGGCCCTGCTGTCGTTCTCTCTCGCTCTCGCTTTCACTCGTCGTCGCCGTCGTCGTCGTCTTCGCCGTCGTCTTCGACGTCGTCGTCGTCGTCGTCGTCGTCGTCGTCGGTGTCGGTCCCCTGTCCGTCCCTCTTGGGGTCGGGTCGACGGTCCGCGGCCGCCCCGCCGATCAGCGCTGCCGCTGGCCAGGCCGACGGTCCGCGGCCGCCCCGCCGCTTGCCGGGGCCCGCCTGCAGGGAAGAAAGGCATACCCCCCAAAAGGGGTTCGATCGAAGACGAAGCGTGCGGGTATCGAGGGTGGGAAATGCGCGTTATTGGACACTCGAGAATATAAGAGAGAAAAGTCTTAAAATTGTTGTTGTTGAATATTATTACTTCTAAAGAATAATTATTGTTGGGCCCCCTGGTGCACGCCCCCCCCGCCGCGCCTAGGCCGCAGCCACGTTTTCATCATTTTCGTGAGGAAGCCTCAGGTAAAACGATGTGATCCAGATCCGGTTGTTTTGTTGTAATCCGTTTTCCCTTGCAAAAAACACTATAAAATGACATTTCTTGTTCTAATATAATCAAATTTCAAGAATCCCTTGCAAAAAATAAGGTAAAGTGGACATTCGCGCGCGCAAGACGAAATCCTTCCAAAACCTTAGTGTTCGCAACGATTTTAACATAAAAACATCAAAAAACCAATGGTTTTTCAACAAAAAAATGTCAAAATCTCATCCCGCGCGCTCTTGCGGATTCGTAGGAAACCCAACACTTTTTAAACATTTCTGTCAAACGGGCTTTTGCGAGCAACTTTTTCGAACTTCTGCGACAACGGTTGCGCACCTGCCAGGGCCATCATCCCTGTCAAATAATACCATGCGGGACACATTCGTTTTTTCTTCGCGCGCGCACGCCGAAATCTCCAAAAACCATTGGGCTTCTTAAGAATTTTAGCACCGCGCATCATAAAATCACACGAATCGCACCGTAGGTCCTCGAAAAACACCTGCACGACTTTTCAAAATTTCTACCCGCGCGCGCTGTCCGAATCCTAAAAAAACCAATGGTTTTCCAACATTTATGTTACATGAGCTCGCGCGAGCTACTTTCGCACGCTCTTGCAACGGGGTTCGCGCGCCTGCCAGGGGCCACAATCCCTTGCGGTTGCGCCATAGGTTGTATCATCGGGACAACCATCGGGACAATCATCGGGACAACGATCGGGACAACCACAACCATCAGGACAACCATCGGGACAACCATCGAGACAACCATCGGGACAACCATATCCTCTCTCTCTTGTGTATTCCCACATCCCTCAGGAATTTGCCCTAAAGATGTGATCAACTATCTTGTGAGTACGTATCATGTGTATCATGTGTATCATGTACCATATGCATCATATGCAACAGATGTTCTGTGGAAGGCTTAACAACTTCTGTGGGTTAACAAGGCTTAACAACTTCTGTGGGTGTACGAACGTAGGCTTAACAACTTCTGTGGGTGTGTACTCCACGCCAGTGTAGTAGCCACGGTCGTCCGCAGGCCACGAAGTGAAGTGTCCGAACGTCATAGGGCGGGAAGCTGGGTGTGGGTGGTGGCGAAGAGTCGTGTGGATATTTGGTAGAGCTTGCACTGCCCCCCCACAAAGTGGGGGTATTGGCTGGCGTCGCATGAAAACCCTGGCACTGGTGAGAACACTGAGCGTTCGGGTAAAGTGATTGTTGTTGTTGTTGTTGTTGTTGTTGTTGTTGGTGGTGTTGGTGTTGGTGTTGGTGTTGTTGTTGTTGTTGAATTCTCACTTCTGAAGAATAATCATTGTTGATCCCCCCCCCGCCGGTGCATACTGGTTTTTTCTCCATCAAAGTGTGCCCTTCGACGCTCGCACTTTGTTTTTTGACAATGAATGTCTTCCTGCTCAAACTGGCCCCCTGGCCCCCGGGTTACAACAACAACGGCTCCCGCTTGAGACTTCCTTACAATTTAGGCGGGACCCCCGTTCCCGCCCGAGACTTCCTCGCATTTTATTCCGGAATCGCGCTTTCGCGGGGACTTCCTCACAACTTACTTAGGAATCGCTCTTCCGGAGCTCTGGAGTCGCGCTCTCGCTGGAGACTTGCTTGCAACTTACTGAAGAATAGCCTTGCGTTGGATTTTTTTGCAATTTGCCAAAGCGCCGCGCTCCCGACACCCAGGAGTCGCGCCCGTTGTGGCCCCATGTGCATGCCCTTCATGGCCCCGCTGTCGCCAGTTGTGTCCACTACGTGGCCCAGTTGCTACCCTCAGTGGCCCCATAGTCGCCTTCTGTAGCCCCGCATTATCTGCACTTCGTGGCCCCCGCTCGTTCGCACCCTTCGTGGCCCCATACGCATTCCCTTCGTGTCCCCGCTGTCGCCCTTCGTGGCCTACTTCGTGCCCTTCGTGGCCCTGCTGTCGTTCTCTCTCGCTCTCGCTTTCGCTCGTCGTCGTCTTCGCCGTCGTCTTCGACGTCGTCGTCGTCGTCGTCGTCGTCGTCGTCGTGGTCGGTCCCCTGTCCGTCCTTCTTGGGGTCGGGTCGACGGTCCGCGGCCGCCCCGCCGATCAGCGCTGCCGCTGGCCAGGCCGACGGTCCGCGGCCGCCCCGCGGCTTGCCGGGCCCCGACCTGCATGGAAGAAAGGTAGACCCCCCAAGAGGGATTCGATCGAAGACGAACAGGGCGGGTATCGAGGGTTTGGGGAATACGCGTTATTGGACACTCGAGCAGACAAGGGCGAACAGTCTTAAAATGATTGTTGTTGTTGTTGTTGTTGCTGTTGTTGTTGTTGGGCCGCTTTTGGCGCCCCCCCGAACCGCTCGAGCGTGAGCCTCATGTTCACAAAAAATGCTGCTGGCGCCGAGGCGAGAGCGCCAGGGTGCCCGGGGGGGCCCAATAATAATCCAACAACAATCAGTTTACAAGAATGATCTGTGATTCTGCATGCAGCATGCATCCATCATGATAGGATTCCTCTCATGGGCGATCTTCTCTTGCACAGGGGGGCCCGATATTTCCTTACCCTGATACCCCGCCCGAGGACCTCGTGACAACACCTCTTCCGAGGCACTTCAGCATCTCCCGCCCGGATGGCGAATCGCCTTCTCAATCCTTTTGCCCATGCCTTCTCTTAGGTGTCACTTCGCCCGAGTGGCCCAAAGTTTCTGGGAGAGGCCCCACAACCTTTGGGAGAGCCCCCGGAGCCCCTTGGACACCCTCTGGAGCTCCATGGAAAGCCCCCAGAGCTTTTCAGAGAAGCGTCAGAAGAACCCCTTGTGGGAAACATGAGGGCCTTTGGGAGACGCTTTCAAACTGAATTGGAAGATTTCGGGGCATCTTGAAGGAGGCCCCCAGGCAATTTGGGAAAACGCGGACGGAAGA